TGAAAGATACTGCATCAAATGGACACCAAGTGATAAAAAATGTCTTAATCTGTGATGATGGACACTGGGAGTTAAAAGTTGGTGAAACTTCAACTAAATTATCTGCGATCGGTATTGACGACAGTTACAGCATCCAGAAGGAGAGCATTAACTTGGTGTGCCAAATGATCAGAAAGATGGAGTTATGCCAGGGCATACCATTAAAGAAATCTGTTGTCTGTAGCCGCTTCCACACACTAGAAACGTGGAAGAGTAGAGCAGAGACGGGGAAACGACTACGGTCAATAAGCTGTTCAAGAGTGGTATCTTTTATCTCTCAAACCAGTGTATGTAGGATTTGCCAAAATATGACATTGGGACATAACACTAAGGAAAAGGAACCAATACCGGTAACTGAAACAAAGACAGAAAAAGAAACCAAGACAGACCTTACGAGGGAGTTTAAAAAACTCATTCCAGATGCTAGCGAGAACATGCTGGAGCTGCTGATTAGCCAAGCAACCAATGGTGGAAGAGATTCAAGGGGCAGACGCTGGAGTAAGTCGATGATCTCGTTATGCCTCAAATTATTCACCAGGACTCCCAAGAGCTATTCCACATTAGGGATTGTCAAATTCTTTTGTTGCCATCACCATCCCTCTTAGTTCTTTACAAGAACAATGTCCAGCAGAAAGTGGGATTCCAGAAGTATATTTTTAAGTGGATGTCAAAAGAGGCAAAGAGACTACAGATACCTAAGGAAGGACTGATAGGTGGAATCGTACTCGATGAAATTGCTATCCAGTCGGATGTACACATTACGAAAAGTGGCGATGTGGTAGAATGAGTGGGGTTTGTAGATGTAGGTGAGGGGGCAATCTGTGTGAGGTGTCAGGGGGAAATGAAAAGAAAGGGTCCCATCCACTACAACTGCTCTTCCTTGGTTTAACTGGGTTCAGATTTCCATTTCCCATTTCATATCTACAGAGGTGCATGCAACAGAGATACACTGTCTATTTTGGGAAGCAGTATCAAAGCTGAAAATGTATGGATTTGATGTAGCATACACCTGCATGGATGGTGCACCTTCAAACAGAAACTTCATGCACATCAACATAGGAAAAGGCCTCACGGAAACCATGTGCTCCTAATTCATGCTACCCAGATAGTACAGTGATTTTTATGATCGACTATTCACACGGAATAAAAAAAATAATAACATCCTGAAGAGCGGTATCTGCAACGGCTGTTCGCGGAACCTGACACTCCCAGATGCCAACATAATCCAGTAGCAGATGTGGGTTGATGCGTTCAAAAGGGACCAGGGAAATGGGTTGGCTCTGCATCGGAAGCTAACAAAAGAGCACATATTTCCAGGTTCGCAGTCAAGGATGAGAAACCAGCTTGCGGAGAGGAGGTGTTGGACGCAGAAATGCTTCATATTCTACTGGAGTATCAGTCAACATTAGGTAGCAAAGGTGCTGTACTTAATGGTGCAATTCAACTTTTCAACTTTAAAAACAAACTTCAAAACTAATCGAAATTTTCCGAGATTGGCGACCAGTTCGGGACATAGCAGATGACAGACTCAAAACGCTACAGTGTGTGTTGTCATGGTTTGTAGAATGGTAGACAGCAATAGTGGATAGAAAGGGTCTAAACAAATCGGAGAAGAGCAAAATGTTGATGTCTGGACAATGCTTTGAAGACCTTCAATCGTGCATTATTGGATTTGAAAAGCTGTGTCAGAAACTGCTCACAAAGCCTGACTACAACGTCCTTATCACACCTGCGTTGGTAAGATCTGATGCTATCGAAAATGAGTTTAATCAACATAGATCAAACTTATAATGGTGCGAACACAAATCCAAATGCCCTGCATATAGACTAACACTAAATAGCATCATCCTTAAACAAGACCGTGAGCTTCGAAGTCAAATGCTGGCAAATCAATATCTGCAGCCAATCTTTTGCATTTGAAAATCCCAAACCCCTGAAATCCAACAAAAGAAAAGTGAACCCAACAAACAAAATTAACCCTACCAAAAGATAAAGGTCATTAGGATGAAACTGATTATAACAGTACTAGTATATCCCTTCTAGAGGACCTCACACACACGCACATATTTCCAGGGAACTTGTAGTGTACATACCTCTCAACCTTGCAGCAAGTTAAGTTGTCTTCTCTGGGCATAGAGGGTTCCGGCACGAACGTGTTGATACACTCCAGCTGTTCTTTGAAGTTGATCACCTTCAGACCGGCTGTGGTCCTCACACATCCCATGGCTACGCCTAACTGGCCCGACTTGAACATTTGATGGCAGTCAACTTCTACACTATCAAAACAAAACAGAAACACACAATATAATATTATATAGATTATAGAATCAATTATAATTAGTATACCAATATGGAGAATCTAGAAAAAAATTATCAGGCCAACATTAAATAATTCATTGATGCCCAATTAATGGCATAAAAGACATTTTAAAAAACTGCTAGCTTTTATATTGTATCAATTTACTAATTAATTATGTGTACCATATGTCATAATATATCAACATCATATGTACCTGCATAATAACAGTTAACATAAAAAAAAAAAACATTTTGAAAAATAAACACAAATTTTTTAAAAATTGCTCGATTTGTTAAAAAAAATATAAAACATTGAATTGGTGTGGTAGCTAGTTGAAGCATATTTTTTTATATATTTAAAAAAAAATGCACAACTACATATTAAAACGTACATATCGAGAGTCATGCCCTGATATTTATGTATGCTGCGTTGGCTCCTCCACTTTTGTAATGACTCCACTACCTTTCATCCTGTCGAGTTCCTGTTTTACTTTATTCTGTAGTGTATGAGGAACCTTCCTCGGTGGAGAAACGACTGGTGTGACTGATGTGTCTATTTTTATTTCATATTCGCCTGGCATGCAACCAATCCCGCTGAACAAATGATCATATTTACTCAATGTCTCCTTGACTGTTGAGCGACTAGATTTCCGAGTGCTTTCAGCACTTTGATTTACATTGACAGAGTACACTCGTTTACAAGGTTAAGTGTCAAACATGTTTCAAGTCCCAACACAGACATAACATCTGCTTCCACAACTTGAAACTCAATCAGGTGGTACCTGTCTTTGTACAGGATGCTTGTGGTAAATTTGCCAACAGTTGGTACTTCATGTCCAGAGTACGACACCAATTTGCTTCGATTTCTAACCAGTTTATGCAGGTTAACACCAGATTTCACACAAGCCTTCCGGCTAATCACATTGCAATCTGCCCCTGTGTCCAACTTGAACATTGTAGGTGTTTTGGAACTGTTGATTGGTATTGACACCTTCCAGTCTCGCTTACTCTGCCCAGTAGCTGATTTGTCCATATCAATACTATCAATGAAAAATGTCTCATCAGAATAATGTTCATCAATATCACTCACCGTTTCATCTATTTGATGCACATTATGTCTTCTCTGTGTTGACTGCACATAACAGCAAAGTGATTCCTTTTCTGACATTTTTTACACGTTTTTCCATACGCTGGACAATGTCCTTCACTGTGTTTCTGCCCACAATATCCACATACCTGCGGGTGTGTCTCCCGGTTTCTGTTTATATTTTGTGACTTCCGTAGCACGTGCCGCGCTTCTCTGCCTTTCGCGCCATTCTTGTCTCCATTCCTGATCACGTGAACATCACTTGTTTCACTCGTGACTCCCTGTATTTCCTTCATTTGTGTTTCGCTGGCTTCGGCAGCCCTACATATGTCAATTGCCTTCTAAAGAGTTAAATCTTTGTCTCTTAACAGGCGAGATCTCACAGAATCACTGCGAATACCACAGACAATTGGGTCCCTTATTAAAGAGTCTTGTAATGTTCCAAATTCGCATGAGGCAGCCTTGTGCCTAAGGTCTGTTACAAAGATGTCAATGTTCTCCCTTTCCCGTTGACTACGTGTCTTAAAACCGTGTCTCTCATATGTAATGTTTTTCCTAGGGTTACAATACTCCTCAAACTTAGTGAATATGTCACCCACCTCCGTTTTATCTGTTCCGTCCCACGAGAAAGTATTGTAGACTTCAATAGCCGCCGGGCCCAACACGTGGAGTAAGGTCATGCCTTTTACATCATCTCCTTTTCCTTCTATACCGCTGGCGATAGAATAGATTTCATACTGTTGTCGAAATCTTCTCCAATTTTCAGACACATTGCTTGACAAGTTTAAGGCTGGCGGAGGGTATAGGCGGTCCATTTTTATTCTGACACCATGTAGAGAGAACTCAACTCTTCGATTGGCGGACTAAGACTGACTTTATTACCAACGCTATTGGAGAGTTTCACATCAAGGGCGATAACTCATAATGGCTTAACCAATACTGTTACAGGGACTATTAGTCTCTGTTTCAGTCCCAGATTTTCACATCTGTTGCCTATCACGCTAAACAGCTTTCATGTGTTTGCTTCTGTGGGAACATACCAGGCGCTAATTACAAGCTCCTGGATAATTCGGATATAGATTTTCCTTAAAACAGGAATAACATACAACCTGAAGGCGTTCCAAATTTCACACGGGAATTACTTATAACCTAAAGATGTTCTCAGAATGAATCGGGCCCCGTTGAGGTTCCCGAAGGGGTAGACTGTTTTATTATGGATTGCTGTTGGTTGATTGATTTAGAAATGTTATGTCTGACCAATGACGACCATAAATATTCGCTTATAGTGTGCACTTTTTTGTACCTGCTGCCCCCATAGCATGATCTTAAGAGGCGACTAAATTTGGGATCTTGTCTTTTCTCTTCTTTCTAAACACCATTCAGTTTCAACAGAATTTATCTCCGTCTCCAAGTATCAAACATAGAACTCGTCTTTTACCATCTATCGCATGTACACTTTTCTTCGTTTTGCATAATTTGGCAAAGTGATTTTTCCCGTGGCATTTCATACAAGTTTTTCCAAAACCTGTAGCCGGTTCGATTTGCCTCTTCTCAAACCGGAAGTAGTGAGGTGGAAGATCTTCTGAATCGAACGAGATTTAGGAAAACAAACATGGCGTCTGATGGCGATATTGTGGCAGCTGTAATGTGCCTGGATGACGATGTTGAAGATTTTCAGCTATGTGGATCGACTACGATGAATACCGTTGTAATCGGGATTATGACAATGCCATTGTAAGAAAAATGTTTTATATTAACCCACTTTAGAAGCGCCATATATCTTAATAATAAATGTGTAAATTTAGTTGTCGATTCTACTTACATGTAAGGCCTAGCTACTGATAAGGTTTAAGGCCCCCTATCCATAAAAGTATATGTCAGTGTAATTGCTTTCAGAACTCAATTAGCTTTACGTTTACAGTGTTTGTTTTCATTTACAGGCGGAGAGATTTGCCTCGAATCGAAAACTATGTGGAAGAAGTGGTACCAAAATACAGCCCTGATTCTTTCAGAACCTTTTTTAGAGTTTCTAGGAGTACTTTTGAGACAATTGCAACTAACATAGCAGCTTATCCAGAATTGCATCCACGGCAACCAAATGCAGGACGGCCACAAATTTCAATAGAAAAAGATCTGTTGATGGGTTTATGGTATCTTGGCTCGCAAGAGACGGTCAGGTCTATTGCAGACAGATTTGACGTATCACTATCAACCTTCAACGACCACAACAGGAGACTTCTGGATGTGTTTACTTTGCACCTGAAAACAAAATTCATCTCGTG